GCAGACATTGTTTTGAAATTTCTTCACAGTGAAGAAAACAACTAACAAAGTAAAGAGACAGCCCACAGATTGCGAAATTAAAAAAAAATTTCAAAATCTGCCTGTGTTAATGGGAAAGTATCCAAACTGTAGAACTCAGACAGCAAGAAACAACTTAATTTAAAAAATGGGCAAAAGATCTTAAAAGGTTTTTTTCTTTTAAAAGAAGAGAGACACATGTTGACAGGTATTATAAAAACATGTTCAGCATCTCCAACAATCAAGGACATGCTAATGAAGGCCATGTAAAATATGATCTCACATCTGCTGCAATGGCACTTTTCAAAACCTTTAGTCCTAAAAAGCAGGACATCTTTATACTTGTGACAATGTGGATGAACCTGAAGGATGTTACACTGAGCTAAACAAAGCAGACACAGAAGGACAAGTACTGCAGGATATCACTTGTATATGAAGTCCAAAAAAGTGATTCTCAAAGAAGTAAAGATAAGATGGTGATTGCCAGAGGTAAGATGTGGAAAGAAATTGGGAGAGGATAGTGAGAACGTACAAAGCTTACAGTTTACCTTCACCTTATGCAGGCTTTGTTAAGTTGTGAAGGTGTAACATACAGCATGACAATGATAGTTAACACTGTACTATAAGCTTGAAATTTCTGAGAGTAGATCATGAGGTCCCTTCAAAAAGACAAAAACATTGTAATTATATGAGATGATAGAAGCGTTAATGAATTTGATCATAGTAATTGTTTTACTATGTGTCTATCTAGTCACCATGTTGTATATGTGAATACATACAAATCTTTTTTGTCTTTTTGAGACAGGGTTTCACTATGCAGTTCAGGCTGACCCTGTACTCACTTCATAGCCCAGCCTTGCCTTGAATTCGCAGCAATCTTCTTGCTTTAGCCACCCAAGTGCTGGGATTACAGGACTGTATCACCATGCCTGGCCTATAACATACAACTTTATCAATTTTGTCTCAAGCTAGGAAGAATTACTAAGAATCTTTCAAATTTAAAACATAACCATATAGGCATAAGAAAGAAACTTTAAAAGACTGTTTAAAATTCAAGGTATGTAATTCAAATATTAACTCTGAAAAAGATTCCTCTAATCTTGATATAATCATGAAAAATTGTGTTAATATCTAATATCTGAAGAAAATTTTTATACTGGGAGGAAGAGGAAATGAAAGGAACAAGTTTTGTTCAAATAACCTGTGAACTACAGTTTCCACTCTTCACAATGCTGTAATAAAGTAAAAATTTAGTAAAAAATACCTTCCTGCCTGACACCCTGTGGCGGTTGACGATTGTGGCAGTTTGAGTAAGAGAGGCTCAACTAAATTGGCTCAGCAATCCCACAGCCGTGGGTCGGGAAGAGCCCACCTCAGGTCGGCTTGTCAGCTGGACGGTATCTGGGGGAATGAAGAAGGACAGAGCTGCTTCTGTTTCTTCAGAGGAGCTCCAGTCTTCACCGTCACTTTGGATGTCATCTCCTGACTTCCAGCAGAAACTCCTTGGCTTTTAGTGCAGATCCTCATCCTTTAGGCACAGATGCTTCAGCCTTTCTCCCAGACCCATCAGCCTCCTCATACGGACTCGCATGGGGCACTGCAGCAGGCTCCAGACCTGGGACTGGATCCTTGAGTCTCCGGTGTGCAGACAACCTCTGCATGCTTCCACATCCTCCCCTGTAGGTGGCCATTGTAAGCCCTTCTTGTATATTCTAATGTGTTTGTATATCTCATATTATATCTGTCTCTGTAGGAAACGCTGCCCGATACACGCCCTCATCATTTTCTCCAAACTCTGTATTGCTGATTCAGAGAATTAATTCTTTGACTGGATTCTAATTCAGTGGTTGTTTTACATATGGCGTCCAACAGGAGGTGGCACACTTAGCTCATTCACTATGTTGTAGACCTAGAATGAACAGGCTTCAAATAGATGTCTTCTCTAAGCCAAGCTACGGTGCTTATTAATCAGAAATGCTAGCTTGGTACGAGGTATGAGATCCCCTGAACTTACTCCTGGCCTCGTGTTCTTTTGCGTTTCTTAGAAATTGGCTTTTCCAGATGAAGATAAATTGTGAAAAAATTATATAAATGGGATTATTGACTGAGGGTCAATTTTTATTTGATAAAAAATTTAAAGTTATATTTCACATTTGATATGACATTAGATAGCAAATATTAAAGATACACAGTTTCCTTTCATATTAATAATAATAATCATACCTACTCAACCAGGGATGCTGCAAGGATTAAGTCACTTAATATGTGCAAAATATGTGGAAAAGTATCTGATATATAATAAGGATAATAAGGGTTCAATGAACAGTATGTAACATGTCTGAGAAATAAGGTAGACTGTCTTTCTACAAAACAGGAGGAGAGAAAAAAGGAGAAAGAGAGAGAGAGAGAGAGGGGGGGGGAACTTGTGAGACAAACTATTACAGGATGTAGTAATTATACACATCGAATCACTGGATAGATTTAGATTGGCAGGTACAATTTGCAGAACATTTACAAAAGAGGAGCTAAGTAACTTGATATCTGAAGAGTAGATAAAATTTTAAAAATTAATCCTCAGGAAAAGAAGAGTAGGGTAAAACAAGGATAAACAAGGAGGTGCTATTAAAAATGACAGATATGGTGTCATTAAAGACATGAAACTGCAAACTGAAAGGGCAGAACAAAGAGTTTTCATTTAAATATTTTTCTTCATACCTGTATTTTAAATCCCCAGTTTTCTCATAGGAAGTGGTTGAATTTGCTGCCCAGAATTATGAGGATCAAATGACATAACTTACTTAGTACCGGTACACCAATGTATATCAGACAGCAGGCACAAAGCAAATGCTCGCTTTCCTTCATTCCACACCATCTCTTCAGGGAAAATAGTCATGTGTATACAGAACACACAGCGACCCTGTATTACTGTGCACACCATGCTGATGTGCTGATGGTGCAGGTGCTCGGTTCTTCCTTATATTCCAGAAGGGCAGACATAAAGAGCATCAACACATAAACTTCATAAGCATTCAGCTGAATACGGCTGTACCTATTACCAGTGCTACGCAGTGGAGGCATCCGGGATTTCGTAAGATGACTCTGGCAGTTGTGTGCTCGGCGCCGAGTGTGAGGTGTGGGGGTGGGGGTGATAAGGTTCCTCAGTCTCATCAGGCACAGGTCATCAAAGGAGAACGGCCTCTGATCTAAAATACAGACATGGTTTCAACAGGTTACATAGGACCTCAGAGACTACATCATTTTACCTTCATATTCTACCCTTGGTAGCAAAATGCATATTGCCTCAAGAGAAACCAATCTTTTACTTCAGATTTTCTGTTCTCCTGGATTGAGGGAAACTTGATGTGTGTGGTTGTGTCCATCGAACATTAAGATAAAAGAAAGTGCTGTGATTTAAATTGAATTTTTAGCCGAAGGGAAATGGAATTTAGATTCATAGATAATTTAAATTCCCATTAAAATAGCCATTGGAGTCACTGGATATGTCGGTGTACAAAAACTGCAGTGGGCCAGTTGAAATGAAGCACAGTCAAACACTGTTAAAGCAATTTGTGAATAAGTGTAAATTTTCAAAGGGCATTCAAAGTACTCAAGCTTAGGAAAACTGTTTTCTTTTTTTCTTCATGGTGTTGCTTATGTAAAGCAGTTTAAAAACTGCCTTTTGGAAACTGACAGCAGAATCAATGTAGGAAACAAAGCACATCATTATCCTAATGAGTATATTCCATTTTGTTAGAAAATTCAAGTTTAGTAATTTTCGCCAGACAAGGTGGCAGACACCTGCCAATAATCTCAGTACTCAAAGAGGCTGACCCAGGAGGGTCTCATGAAACTTAGAACTCAGCCTGGGCAACCTGGAAACTCACTGACTTTGTATGAAAATAAAAAATAAAAAGAACTAGAGATGTTCAATACCCAATATGGAAAAAAAAAGATTTGTCTTCTGTTGATATTTATAAGACTGTAATAATCATGTAAAAAGCCATATTGTCCAACTTTAAATGACTCTGTTTATTTGCTTTTGTTCCCATCAAAATCCATAATATCAGGGGCTGGGGATTTAGCTTAGCGGCAAAATCGCCTGCCTGGCAAGCGCAAGGTCGTGAGTTCGGTTCCCGGTACCGGAGGAAAACCAAAAAAAAAAAAAATAATAATCCATAATATTAACGAAGACCAACTTAATTTCCTTAAATTTAAATAAAGCTTAGTCCCAAAACAAGCTTCAACTTGCTTCTGTTTATTTATTTATTTATTATTATTTTTTTTTTTTTTGGTTTTTCTCCGGTACCGGGAACCGAACTCACGACCTTGCGCTTGCCAGGCAGGCGCTTTTGCCGCTGAGCTAAATCCCCAGCCCCCTGTTTATTTATTTAGATGAGTAAAATGGGCAGAGATTTTCTGAATAAAGTCATCAGATGGGAAGTCCATTTTCACTAAAATTCTGTAACGAAATGAAACACTGAAATTTTTCCCACTACAGGATTTTAAACACTTTCTGCCACCCAGGATATAAGGATTTTTGCTTTCTTTTGTAACACTTTTGCTTCCAAGAGTAATTTCTAAAAAGTTCAGAAAATCTCTCCAAAGAGAGACCACTTACCGCTTGTTCAAGGAAGTACACTACAACTGCTAAGGACAATTTCAAGAGAGGAATTTTTTAAAAGTTTGCGCAAAGCTGGACATCAGTAGAGTAAGTTCATGCTCTTTGAAAGTGTCTGTTTTGGTTGGCTCATGTAAGCAGAAATGCTATTAAAATTCACACACACCAGTTTATAAATGGACGTAGTTGATCAATGGAAGCCTTAGAGGAAGCTTCCAGCTTTACGGGAAGTGGGGGCTGTTTAATGAAGAGTTCTGATGCAGCCTGTAACAAGGAGGAAGAGCCTGTACACAGAGCCACGGCCCTCTAGGGATATATAAAGGGACAAGCCAGGAGAGGGGCAGAACAAAGCTCGAGGCACACACTTCTTTCCCTCAGCCGCAGCCTGCTCTCCAAACCTCACTATGTCTTGCCGCAACTCCTGCTCTGGAAACTGCAGCTCTGGGTCTCCCAGAAATTCCTGCCACGTTCCTCTCAACCCCGCTGTTGCCCTCTGCTCCACCAACGTAAATGGTGGTGATGTTCTCTACCTACCCAGTAGCTGTCAGGACAGCACCTGGTTCACCGACTACTGCCAAGGGACCTGCGAGGAATCAACCAGCTGTCAGCCAAGCACATGTGGCCCCAGCCATGGTGGGTCTGCCTGCTGCTCTTCCACTGGTCACTATGTGACCAGACCCTGCCATGAAGGCAATTTTCTTCCTGCTTCATCCTTCGTCTCCAGCTCCGTCATCCCGGTGTCCTACAGACCTGTGAGCTATGTGTCCAGCAGCTGTCGTCCACTGAGTCCGCTGGTCAACAATTTCCAGCCCACAGGCTGTGTGCCCAGTTGCTATCGTCCCCTACCCTGCTTTTCCAGCTCTGGCCGACCCCTGAGTATCCTGCCTTATGGGTGTCAACCCTCTGCCTCTGTGGTCTACAGACCTCAAACGGTTCACGTTGTGTCCAGCGGCCTCCGGCCAGTGCAGCCTTTCTCCAGTGGCTGCCGCCCTCTGACCAATGTGGTCAGCCCCTGCCACCCATCCTGCTTCTCACAGGGAGGCCAGTAGCTTCTTTGTCCAGTGAATGCTCTTGCTGAAGATCCAGAGGAAACATTCAAACTCTATGGACTTTTGCTTCTTTCCTTGTAGCGACTGCTTTTTTTTCTTGTTTCCTCTATACCTGATCCAGTGCAAGACGTTCTTTGCACATCTTGCTTTCCTCTGTCAGTGCTATAAATATTTGGTTTACAAAGCTATCAATATTGCTTGGCTGTAGGAAGAATGTATTTGATTCATGCAATAAATAAATGAAATTAAGTTAAGAATTTGGTTGGGTTTTTTTCTTAATCATTTCATCCTTGTAACAGAGAAACAAACAGTCTAAACGGCTCTCAGAATCAATGCGTAGGACAGGTGATCCTAAACCAAATGTCCTTATCTGACATGAGAGGATAGCTTGATGGTTTTGAAGTCTAGAGATTTCTGGTCAGACATGCATAAGAAATATCAAAAATCCTTGATGGAAGTTATGACAGAAAGCAAGATGGGCAGTGATCTGACTTTACCTATTTCTTTAGTAAACACACTCCCACAAGATGTTCGCATTGGACACTTACCCACAAATTTCTGCTTAAGTCCCGGATGCCTCCTATAATCTAGTCACAGAAGATGAGTATGCAAACACCTTATTAACGTGATATCTGTTTTCCTTCCTTGTTTTATGTACCCTGTCTGGCTTTAGTCCCTTCCGCTCAATAATACACACTTGCAACTCCAGCAATTCTATTTTACATGTAGGTCCCCAAACATACGCCTTTCATAATCACACACCCAAGCATCCTTTTGCAAGGAAGTTCAGACCTGTTTGCCTTTCTGCTCAATCTGCTCGAAAACTCATACTTTTAAAACACAGTTGAAGCTATGAAATGGCTGATTTATTTATTTATTTTATTTTTTTGTTTTTCTCTGGTACCGGAAACCGAATTCACGACCTTGCGCTTGCCAGGCAGGCGTTTTGCCGCTGAGCTAAATCGCCAGCCCCAAATGGCTGATTTATTTATCAAAAAACTTTTTCTTGCTTACTCTGTTCAGAAGGACCATGTTCTAAGTACAAGATCTGGAGGTGAACAAGGTAGACATAAAGCATTAGCGTTTACTGGAAGTCATGTACCATGGGACAAAGCTCAATTAAAATTCAAGAGGAGGAAAAATTAATGTAAGGGTGAGAAGTCTGAATAATGGCTGCATCTTAGGAGTAGAGACTAGTGTGCCGATTAATGTCTACATTACCCTTCAACTCAAATCTCATTAAAAGTTATGTTAAAAATAGTTTAACTAGAACAAGAAGTATATACATATATTATTAAAGGTAGGCTTAGTCAAGGTGTGATCTACTCATTAGGTTCTGGGGAAGGAGAAGAATGAGACAGGCTTAAAAATAATAATAAAAAGATGGAGGTGTCATCAACTCAAAATATCCAGTACAACCAGGCAAATGAGGCAAACAAAACACGAGAATGGGATTTTAAAGCACAAACATGATGATAAGAAGAACTGACTTTCTGCACTCCAGTGTCAGGGAGTTTATAGAGCAAGACTAAGGCTGAGAACCATACGTCTGGTCCTGGGGAAGAGCTCCGAATTCCTTTCTAGCGACCATTATTTTCCTTCCATTCTTGCAGGGCTTCGAGACATTCCAGTTCCTCCCAAAGGTGAATATTAATGTCTTTAGAGTCTAATATTATTTTGGCTTATGAAGTATATTTCCTCTACCCTTGTTAACGAAACATGCATATTTCAAGGAAACTATAAAATAAAAGTATCTGCCTAAAGTATCTCTATCTGGGTTCTTTTGCTTAATGTTACACCTGCAAGAACCAGCTTGTTATGCATATCAGGAGGCTCTTTCCCTGATTTTCCTTGAGCAAAAGCTACTGCAGCCTTAACCAGGTAGGAACACTGACATCACAACCTTGAGAATCTTTTGGAGGCTGCTCCGGGACTAGAGTGAACATGGGAACCTCCTGGGGCTGCAGTACTGGGGATGCCCCACAATTTATGGGTTTCACTTCTAGGGATCTCATCATTTTCTTGTGAGGGAGAACTGAGTTTTCACATCCTCTCAGCCCTGTAAGGAAAAGGGGAGGCATTACCTAGGGAGGCAAACTTAGACCCTACTCCGTGACATCTCCCACTCTCCAGAAGTCTCCAAGAGACTTCCGAACCTTATCCAGTCTGAGGCATGGACATTTCTCCCTCTCCCTCCTACACGAGCTCTCTTGGCTTGGCTAATTGGTGGAGGGTAGGATTAAGAAACATTTTAAAGGTCATGGCTCAGAGACACAGTCCAATTAAATGTCTGAGACTTAATTAGAAGATTATAGAATGCTTCCTCTCCTCTCCACCTTCCCAGCACCCCAACCAGGCTCTAGCATAATAACAGTGGATTACAGATGAAAGAACTAAGTTATGCAGGTCCTTCCCGAAAGGGAGAACCTAAGAAAGCCAAAAATCCCACAGAGAATCAGCATGAAGCATACTAGAGAAGTAGGAAGTTTCTGACTCCACCAACTACAGAAACCATTCAACTCAGCCCTACCGCTAGCTAGATTAACTTCAAATCTCACAACACAGGTATATTTAACTCAGTTCCTAATACTTGAGTATAGGATGTATGACTTAACAAAACTAAATAAGTAAATACATAAAAGTAAATTTTAAAAAATAAAATGCATATCAAAGAGCTATAAAGCTACAATCTCTTGAGAAAAAGTGAGCATCAAAATCACACCCAGACATAGATGACATAGGTATTAGAATGATCAGGTAGGGAATTTAAATAACTCTGATGAATATGTTCCGGGGTCTAATGGGAAAAAAAAAGACTGCCTATAAAAACAAGTGGGCAATGTAAGCAGAGACCGAAATTTAAAGAAAGACTTTTTTAAATGCTGCAGATTGGAAACAGTGCACAAGAAATGAAGGATTCTTTGGATGGTCTCATTATCATGTGAGACATAGCCAAGAAAAATATCAATGAGCTTCAAATTAGATCAAAAATAACTTCCCAGACTGAAATGCCAACAGAAATATGTAATAACAGGAATAAACAGAATACTCAAGAACTGTGAGACAATTCCAAAAAGTACAACATATTCTTAATTGGAATACTGAAAAAAGAAAAAAAAAACAGAAATATATAATTGAAGTAGCAGCTGGCATGGCGGTGTACGCTTGTAATCCTAGCACTCTGGAGGCTGAGACAGGCGATTGTTGCAAGTTTGAGACCAGCTTGGGCTACAGAGTGAACTGAAGGCCACCCTGAACTGCATAGTGAGACCGTGTCTCAAAAAGACAAAAAACAAAACAAAACAAAACAAATTGAAGTAATATTATGGCTGCAAACTTTCAAATTATAATGGCAAACACCAAATCAGAGATTCAGGATCTGGGAAAAAAGACTAAAAAGTATAACAAGAACAAAACATTATACCTGGGTACATCATATTCAAATTGCCACAAAACAAAGAGAAATTCTGAAAGCCCAGGGGGCAGGGTGTGTATCTTATCTGTGAGACTAGAATAAGGAATACAATTAGCTTCTTGCTAGAAATCATTCTGGCAGGAAGAGTGTTGAGTAAAATACATAAACTCTGTGCAGTGACGTGACTATTCAGTCCTTCTTCCATGCAGGGTACATATCAATAAACCCATCCGTAGATTTCCTTGTTTGTTTCTAGACTATGTTCACTAAAATGGTTAGGATAATCTATTTAAATGCATATACTATTTCAGATTGGTAATCAGTATTTGTTTTTGGTTTCCTAGACAAGAGCTTGCTTTGTAGTTCAAGCTGCCCTTGAACTCACTATGTAATCCAACCTGGCTTCAAACTTACCTTCCATTCTCTTGCATCAGCGTGCCAAATGCTGGGATTTCAGGCTTGTTCCACCACATCCAGCTTGACTGGAGAACTTGATAAACACATTTATATCCTTTCAAGTTACTTGAACAAGCAAAATTGCTCAGTAAATAAGGACTTTCTATTGTATGCTAATGTCTCTTCCAGTGCTGGCTATAAGGCAGTCAACAGGAGACAGAAAATAAATGATAAATACTAGTACAGAAGTAAGATAACCTAAGAGAGGAAACAGTAATGTAAAAGTGATACACATGGTACTATAAATGGGGCAGATGGTTATTTTTACCAAGGCGAAGGATATTTTGTCCTTTCAAATGGCACTAGAATTGTGCTTAGAAGGACACAAAGGGAACACTCAGTGATCTACTGGGAGAGCAAGGTCCACAGCAGGCACTGAGGAGGCTGAAGGAGAAAAGGAGGTTTGTGTAGCTGGAGGACAGGGAGAGAGGAGAGAGCGGGACCGGAGAACCTATCAGTACGTTAGCTGTTTTAGAGCTGGGTGCCAGCAACAGGGCCGATCCCACCAGGTACATCTAAAATGTGTCAAGCAAGCATTGGCTGTTTTCTAAAAGTACAGTAAACTCAGCCAGATGGGTTTCTAATTACAGATGAATACTTCTCTGAGACTGACTATAAATCACAATAACTTGCCGAGACAGTAAACCTCAAATCCGTCCATGTGACACAAACTAGATGTTTTCTATCAGGACACAATCTTCAAGCAGACCTTGCGAATATAATTTTTAGGCCATCTTTATCAACCATTCACTGATGTCTTGTTGGGGTAACTCTAGGCTCTGACCTAAGATTTATTGCAGAAAATATCTCCAGGCCAGAGGAACAGGAGGGATGGTTAAACCCCTTTGTTTTTCTTGATGTCAAGGAGTTAAGCAGGGATAAAAATAAAAAACAGCAGAGTTAGACCCTGAGATATATATCCTTATGAGATATCAGAAAATATAGTGCACGTTATTCTTCAACCAACAGAAGTGAGGAGTAGGCTCAGTTTTCGATCACAGAGACAACATGTAAAAATAAGGAAATGCAGGACTTTTTCCTGGCAACATGCAAAATCTTGAAATTTGACTGTGATGGCTATTAAATTTCAACTCAAAGCTAATCAAGGAACACTTAGCAAACATGTTTCTCACTTTTTGAAGGTTATCAAATCACCAGAGTATATATCGGGATGTCAGAGGAACTGATTATAAGCTTCACAAGAAATACAAAAACTGAAGCATCCTTAATTTGTTAACATTTCTGATATATTTACCAAGTCGGTTATTAAAATATTTGTCTCATTTTAAAATTTTAAGGCATTTTTCTTCTAATTGTTTACTACTTGAGCATTTCTTATCCT